CATAAGTATAACATCAGCAAGGGATCTAGTGCCACTATACTATCGCAAATGGCGCAAGTTGAAGGCTCAATCGTCAAATGGGACGAAGCAGAAATTATTAAATCGGTACATTCACCGACATTGGCGAATTGCGCAGAAAAAATTGAAATATATAAAAGCAAATTGCATGATTCATGCATCAATTCTAGAGATTCTGAAGGGTTGCCTTCGGCCTGGAAATACTTTATCAAACGATTGGACAAATCTTAATTTATTGCGGCGATTTTAATATTTTTTCGCATAAAGTGCATTTCACTGAATTTCTATATAACGTTTTAATATTTAGTTAACCTATGCTTATTTTTTCGTATACATTTTTTGTTATTTGTAACAATAATTTTTATTTATTTTATTAGTCTGTATACATTTATATATATATTTCGCTCGTTATTTTATTTTATTTGTATTTAAATTTTTGTTCTATTTTATTTATATTCGAATGTTCTTAGCCTGACGATGGCCAACTGATTTGGCTGAAAACGTTAGCTTTACATTAAATTTTTTCTCAGCAAATTAAGGTGTTTTGTTTTTTGATTTATATTCTTTTCATGTACAGGTAACCCTTGGTTTATGCTGGCTCAGTTTATGCCGATTCACAATAACGCCGCTGCGCAATTTGCCATTTCGCGGTGTAATTCCCCAGTTTTCCCTATGCCAGACTGATTTTCATTTCAGTGTTGACTTATTTACCAAGCCACAACATTGTACATTCGTTAAAACAAAGATTTTTATTGAATATATTTATTTTTTCTGATTAATATTATTGGGTATGTATACATTTGCATTAAATTAATATTAAAATACTAAACATTTTGGTACCCATGAGTCAAGTTATCAAACTTATAGTTCAATAAATAGCATCCAAATCCATAGCACCAGTGAATGTATCCCCTATCAGTTCATTCAGGAAAACATCTTACAATGTAGTAGCACTTCCAGTGATCACAAACTGTTGTTAGTGAGACAAATCTACTAATCATTGGCCAGACGATATCTATCTCCCCTTAGCCATCTTGAATTTTCCCACTCAAACTGACCTTATATATGTGCTACGGCGACCGGTGGTCGACCAATCAGTGTCTCCGCTCGTCTGTAGCTCTGTCAGGTTAATGTATCCTTTCAACTATGGAAAGTTTGACGGATGAACTTTGTGAGTTAGACAATGATTGGGAGTGAAGTGCAAATGTAAAAAGGAGCATCATGCATCCATTCGATCATTTTCCGAAATTCTCAATGAAAGAAAATAAAAATGTAAACAATTAAAGATGGATACTTTTTTCCAAAAAATGAAGAGATCCAAAACTAAAATTTTTTAATAAAAACATTTCACTTTATTTTATGATAAAATACATTTTAAAAATTAAATTTATATATATTTTGTATTATATTATATTAATAAACAAAATTATTTGCTTCTTTTTCACTTATGTACAACCTAACCCTATACCTCACTGTAAATATGGGTTCGTTTTATGCCGGCTTTTGTAGGAATGGAACTGCAGTGTAAACCGAGGGCTACCTGTAATATTTATTTTGATCAGTTATTATTTTATAGGTATTTTAATTGGTTACTCTTTCCACATAATACTTTCATCCATGTTCCTTCTAGACTAACTCAAAATGTCTTGTTTGTCACTGCCCAATTTTTGTCTTTAAATAGATCTTTTTATTGTGCGGTTACAGCAACTTTAAATGTAACCAATGTTATTTTTTTTAAATGTAAGTGTAAAAAGTACTTTATAATTTACTGTTGTAATTTGCCATTGTAATCTTATATTATATATTTGTTTTATTTTTTTTCCTATTACTTTTAATTTGAAACATTGAGAAAACCAAAATTATATATTTGTTTTATTTTTTTTCCTATTACTTTTAATTTGAAACATTGAGAAAACCAAAAAAATTTAGAGGTTTTTTCCCTGTATGTATGGATTTTAGTGTGTGCATTTGGAGTTTGATTTTGTTTATTCACTTTGAAACTTAATAACTTCTGTGTTTTGTTGAAAATTTCTGAAATTTTGTATATTTGGGGATTGATGCTATTAAGTTTTGGTAATTAAAGATCATGGGGGTGAGGAGATAGAGGGGAGTCACTTGTCATATCTCAAGTGGGGTTGGACTTAATGAAGATGTTACTTGTTATTAGCATTTCTTGTAAAACTATCCCCTACCTTTCAAAATTAAGCTGTTTGCCATTTTATAATAATAAAATAATATAAAAGTTTTTCAAAATAGAATATCATAATGGATAGTGCTACATACAATTTTGAATGTTGTTCTTGAGAAAGTTATACAATTTGTTGCTGGATTTTTTTAATATTGTTTTTATCTTTTAATAATTTATATTTGGTTCTTTCCATCCTGTGAGCACTAAGACAGCTTTTTTCCATATGCATCATGGTTCTGTCAGGCCCTCAATGGATGCAGTCAGGTGAGGAACGTGGTTCAACATGTCAGGATAGACTGACCCATGGAAAATTCCTGGGGTTATTTGTCTGAATTTAATTTTGGATTCCCTAGAGTGATAGGGTAATGTTTTAACTCTTGGCCATCTGCCCATTCATTTCAGTTTTAAGTACAGTAGACCACTTTTACAACCTAATTAGTTCCCAAATTATTATCATTAAGTTAGCTGTGGTAAACTAAACTTTGTTTTCTCATAGTTCAGCAATGTAAGTTGGAGTTCTTTTTGTAGAAATAGAGTGAGAAGAATTCTTATGAGAAAGATAATTCAAATTAATATTTTTTAAATTTTCATTTAGAATTGAGAAATAAACGTTCCCAGGTAGTGGCACAGATGCTGGAGCTTCAGGCAGAAACAGAACCGATAATAAAAATATTTATGGATCCCATTGTCACTCAGGAAATGATGAAAACAAGGTAACAAATTTACACTGTACTTACAGTAATTTCACATTATAAATTCATTTAATAATGGATCTATGAATATAAAATTAGTCATTTAAAATATGAGTAATTCTGTTAAGATATTAACACTGATTAATAATTTTAAAATATTAACAGTTAAATTCCTCAGGTTTCTACCTTGTAGAAACCTGAGAAAGAGTTCATAAGGGGCATTGTAAACATTCGCAATAATAGAACATAAACGCTCTGGTTATTTGATTTAAGTAAGTCAATATTATAGTTTTTTAAAAATTAGAAAAATAGCTTAGTTTGGAATCTGAACTCATTATTCAAAATTAAACTTTTTCAACTTGGAGGGCTCTGGGGAAGGTTCTATTGCACGAAATGAAACAACATTTGGACAACAGGTACTGTACTTCAGATGATGCGCTTGCCATTTATTAAATAAAAATTTTTTATACAAGAAGTTACTGATATGTGGTGCTGGAGCTATGCAAATCATGGTTACAAATGTTCAATATGTGCTCCATTTGCAAAAACATGTTTTTCACTGCTGAGCATAATGAGTCCACTTTAATCACAAGAACATGCCAATGAACTCTGTCCTTTAGATCTGACACAAATGCATGTCTTTTATGATAGACCTAGTCTTTAAAAAATCCCATAGCTAGAAGTCACATGGAATAAAATCAGGTAAACAAGGAGGCCAAGTTGTTGGGAAATAACAACTAATCACCCATTTATCTGTGAAAGTCTGCCTTAACACACATTGAATAGAGTGAGGGATGTGGGATGGTGTACCATCTTTCATAAATATGATATCTTGAAGACTTTGTTGAACTCTGGGATCAAAAAGTCATTAGCTTGTTAAGATACCATTCTCCAATAATAGAACAGGTTTGGATCTCAGTTGCATAACTCCAACACCAATTATTGGTGGTTTTTCTATGAAAAATTTTTATTTAATAAATGGAAATAAATAAAAAATTATTTAATAAATACATCATCTGAAGTACCTGTTGTCCAAATGTTGTTTCATTTTGAGCAGTAGAACATTCTCCAGGCTCCTCTAAGTTCGGGGAAGCTTAATTTTGACAACTGTGTATGTAAATTTAGTGAGTATGATTATGTCTTGGACATAATCATACTCACAAATGTATTTACTCAGTCTAATAAATTTAGTGATACTTAAGTGTAATTCTATTATAATCTAAAGAAGAAAATATTGCTTTTAATGGCATAACAAATACAAAAAATAAAAATATTAAAATGCTTTTGAGCTTAACAACTCATCTTTGAAATGTTAAGAATGTTCTGTTACTGTTGAAGAGCAAGTTTGAGAAAAATATTGCTGAAGTGATCATACTGTCACTATTACATTAGTTAGAATAACTTGGAAATTGATAAAAATTGAACAGTTACAAAAATAAAGTAAAAATATAATTTTATAGGTTTTGAAAATCTTACATTAAAAATGTACTCAAATGCAAAATATAACAATGTCTAGTGACATGTTGTAAGTAAGGTTGTGAGCAGTTTCCAGGATGTTCGCATGTTATCAGAGTCATGCTTGTTAACAGTTATACATTCCAATCTTACATAATTGTATTGTACAAAAATACACAAAAATTCAAATTTTGTGTATTTTTCTACAATACAATTATGTAAGATTGGAAAATTAATCTGATTCCCTCGTTTTAAATAGTTTATTTTTTAGTTATACACTGGTGTGCAAAACTTAACCAAAAAAAAAAAAAGTTGTTGCTTGTAACTCTGCAAGAAATCACCTGGGAGACATGAAATTCAGAATACAGAGACAGTATTTTGTATTTAAAGGATGAAGAAGGCATACCAGTGCAAAAATGAATAGAACATACATAGTATAGAATCAAAGCCTCCTCCTTATTGTAGTCTTGCACTACATGTGCCTACTACACACATTCTACATGCCATCGCATCACCTGCGATGTCTTCTTCCTGAGTACGAATCACCTATATACTGAGTTGGGTGTTCATTGTACTGATTGCAACAAGCCCTTTTCTACAATTTCAATGCTGTCTGCTTAAGAATTACATTGTTGCTTAAGTTTTGCACACCAGTGTAGATTTTAAATTTCTTTCATACAACCAAGTAGCTTCTGCCAACCTCCAGATGGCAAAAGTTATTTGAAACAGTTATTACTGCATTTCTTCATGACATAGAATTAATTTAGTTTTTTTGGTAGAGATCATTAGTAAATACAGTTAAAATAAAATATTAAATTTATTATTAATCATTACTATGAATTTTGGATTTATCCACAAGTGTCAAAGCTTGTGCATACAACAGAGGTGCTTTATTCAAAATAAAATTACACACATATTCTTACTATTGTATAGTTCTATAAACCATCTTTTAGAGCAGATAAGATAAAACAAAACTTATAAAATCTGAGTTTCTGTAGTTTAAGATCTGAACTGAATTTATCTTAAGTGTTCTGTAGCATTTCTGTATCAGTGAGAACAATCAATGAAAATAAATTGTTGCAAGTTACAGGTTGTTTCAAGACTCTTAGCCAGGAGCTGCATGTTACCCAAATGGGGCTCTGCAGTATTTAAAAAGAGAATAAGCTGGCAAACTGATTTGTTTCAGATTCAGTTAAATTCATATAACCAGTATTCTTTATACACATTAATAAGGGTGAGTCTGTAGGTGAGTAGTAAGGGTGAGTGAGAACTTACAGCAGCCTGGCCAATATTTGCAAAACATACTGTAAACTAAACTAGATTATGTGGTAAAATACATAAATTGTTACAAATGAATGCTGTTTGGAAGTGTTTTATTCTATATAAAACATTCATATGTAGTGAATAACTTGATATACATATTTTGGTAACCACTAAAAAGGTGTTTATAGATGAATAAACAAATTTATTATATCCTTCTAAATCCGACATTCACCAGAGGTCAAGAATTACCCAGAAGACAATTTTAATTCACAGTTTTTTTATTTAAATAAAAGATTTGTGATTCTTGATATATGGTGAACGTTGGATTAGGAGATAACAAATTTGTTTATTTGCCATAAACTCCTTTTTAGTGGATACCAAAATAAGTGATTATATACAGCAAATATGAACTATACACTTAGTCTAATGCATTAAAATACACAATTGTCTTAAGTAATTGTGGCAGAAAATAAGTGTGATTTTATGAAATTTATTTAATTTTTGGTAAAGACGACGGTAATTTCATACTTCAGAGAACTGCAGTAATAAATTAATATAATATTCTTGGCCATCAGCATATATGCTAGTAGAATTATAAAGAGCCTACAACTATTTCTTTTTGGCAAATAAAATTTCACAAGAAATAATATTTAAAATAGATTTAAGATTTACTCATTTCTTTTATATTATATAAAAATATTCTACTATGTTTAATTGTAATTAAATGTATCAATGTAAAGCTAAAAATAGCAATAATCTATGAAGGAGTTTTCAATACTTTTGGTACCCCTGTTTGCCAAAATATTGCACTAAAAATTATTTAGTCTGGTGATAAATGGGATTGTCATCTCATTCAAATTTTAATAAGAAAATTTATCAATCAATTTTTCAAAACAATCTATCTTGCTATTAGCCATTTAAATTAGAGGTTGGCAAACTTTATCCCTAATAGGTCAGATAGTGAATATTTTAGGCTTCATGAGCCAAGATGAAAAATTGAGAATATTGTGTAGGTACTTGTATATTAAGAGAAAGCAAATTTCCACAAACTTATTTAGGAAATTCAAAATAGAATTATTATTACTACACTGGTGTCCAAAATTAAAGCAACAAACACACAACCTGCATAAAACAAAAATCGACATCGTGAAACATGAGTGCCAAAACTTACATGATGTGTAAATTTGCAAAATGTCATGCAAATAAGACACAATGGCAGCATATTTATATGAGAAAATGTAATGTGCTATATGTACAGCAAAATTGTTTCTGACAAACAGTTATCTACTAGGAGTGCTAACAGTGAGGAAATGTTCCCAATAAATCAGTAGCTTATCAGGTATGCCTCAGAGAAGGGCATTTGGATAATTCTTTGCAATGGAAAGTCTTCATTTATGTGTTTTTGTCATGTATATTTGTACGTGTTGCTTTACTTTAGAACACAAGTGTATTTTATTTAGCTTTCTTAGTGTTCGAAATTTGTACTTCGTTTCATCAAAATCAATTGTTGATGCAAAGATGTAATGAGATTTTATGTATTTCATCTTTAAAAATATTTACAGATAGGTACTACAAAAATATTCATATAAATCGACGAGAGTGTGATTTTTAATTGATATTTGCAGAATTTCATTACATTATTCTCTCAGTATTTACCATTTAGCATGTCTTTATATTACTAATCCATCACCTCTAATCAAAGGTTAGATATTTCACTTTAAATTTTCTAATTTTTCTGACGTTCTTTTTCTATAAATTGGGAATATTATGAAGCTAGTTGAATCAGTAATGTCAACGTAATGCAAAATGATGAGAGCACCGCATACAGTCCCTGTTGCAGCTAACTACTCAACTCTGCCATTATAGTGCAAAAATTCATTTAAAAAAGTTATGAGCCTGGCTGTGTTCTAATAAAACTTTATTTATGGACACTGAAATTTGAATTTCATGTAATTTGTGTGTCACAAAATATTATTCTGATACTTTTTTAACTAATAAAAAATGTAAAAGCCACTCTTTTGTGACTGTGTATACAAAAGATCTATATGCTGACATGATCTAAATTTTCAAAAGTGAACTAAAGATTATTTTTGTGAGCTATTTTAAAATTAGTCTATCAAAATTTCACTCTAATTTAATAATGTTCAAGTTCATGTTGACATTGTGTAAAAAAAATTAATTATTATTTGTCTAAAATTTATTATTTCCTTAATTTGGAAATTAAAATAAATTTAGAGTTTTTGTGTTTAAGTACTTGCATGAAATTATTTAAAATGTATCTAAAATTATGATTTTCTTCACAGAGATAGCAGACAGCTACTAAAATTTCTGATGGAAAATTTTAATGTAAGTAGAAAAAAAATTTTTTTTAAGTTACTTTAGATGATAACTTAATAAAAGTAACTACATTGAGCAGTCTAGGGAGAAAACTTCAATATATTTTTTGTGTTTAGTGGAAGGATAATATTAAGATGATAATTTTTAGATCAAAATTTTACAGAAATTAAATGAAACTACAGGATGCCCAAAAAGTTACTGTTCAATGGGAAAAGTTTAAGTAAAGTTTAATAAAAGTGAAGTTTTATATATGATACTGCAGTTTCTCCTATGGCAAATGTTGCAGTTGTCCCTCAGAAGCCCAAAATTGGATGAGTGATGACCAGATACCTAGCGGGCCAGATTTCAGTGGAAATTATTCAGTTGGCAAAGAAATCTTCAAAAAAACTGTCAAAAAATCAGAATATTCATGAGCAAGCAGTAACACCATTTACTGCAAAGTGGCTGCCAAAGTGGACGGTTAATCTATAAACACTTGGCTTTAGCACAGAAACATATGCACATATGTGGAGAAAAATGATTGTTACATGTTCACAGCATGATATCAGCTTACAACTTATGTGTGGCTTATGCAATATATCTGACCATTCAGAGATATTGAGTAAAAATCTTGCTTCAAAATTAATTTGTCCCTTCTAACAGAATACATTTATTACATAAAAATTGTACGATTGTCAGAAAAGCATTAACATCAGTTATTATTGTCCATATCATTGACTCCTTAACCACTCTTGACAGGTATAGATGGCTATACCTGTCAAGGGCGATCATGTGGCACTGGAGAGTCTATATCCGCAAAAAAATTTTAGCCAAAAATTACCGCAAAAAAATATTCACATAAAAAGGAATTATTTGACAATAAAGAGAAATTTTTTTCTTTACTAGACATAACGGTTTTAAAATTTTTTTTCCGAAATGGAAACGAGAAAAACATGTGGGAAAATTCTTAAAAAATTTCCCATGTTTATTCTCCGCTACATCGTGATAGCGCCATATCGGACTAACCCTCTCTACAAAGGTTAAAGTAAGTCTTGTTCAGGGATGGTGAACTGTTGAGTTCATGTAAAATATAATAAGCATATTTATATTTATAAATGTTAATGCTTGCAGAAATTTTAGACTTTGAAGAACAATGTTTAAAGAAATGAAATGAATATTCTTTAATTAGAATAAATGTAAATAAGCTGATTGAAAAAAGAATGATCATATTATAAACTGAAATTACATATGTTATGTGCCACAAGTTTGCCATCCCTGATATGTAGGATCATAACATTGCACATAGAATATGGTTATCAAAGCAAAATATCTAAAATATGAATGTTAATTTATTGTTGATAGATTCTATTTAAGTCATTGAAAGTTGATTTCAATTAAATATATTTGTTATTAATATATAACATTATGTCCTCATGTTTGAAAATATAATCAGTTAATTAGAGTTTCTTATTTAGTTCAAGTTAGAAATGATGGATTCGTTATTTACATTCGCCAAATTCCAATATGAGTGTGGAAATTATTCTGCTGCTGCTGAATATCTTTCTTTCTACTGCCTCTTGGTAAGTTATTTTCAAATTTAAATGTTGTATTCTTAATGATACAGAATTTTTTATTCTAGGTACCACCCACTGACAGAAATATGTTGAATGGATTGTGGGGTAAAGTTGCCTCTGCAATTCTCATGCAGGACTGGGATACGGCTTTAGAAGACCTGCACCGTCTCAAGGATTTTATAGATAATAATGTATGTTCATAAACAATTCTTGCAACACAATGTTCTATTCTTGATATGAATATGTAATAATATAACTTATATTTGTTTTATAGACATTCGGATCTGCCTTGCAGTCTCTGCAGCAACGGACATGGCTTATACATTGGAGTCTGTTTGTTTTCTTTAATCACGTAAAAGGAAGAGATTTAATTATTGATATGTTTCTTCTCCAGCAACAGTAAGCACTTTAACAATATATAATATTTTGTGTAACTTTTAAAGAATATGTTTATTTGATTTTTTTAATAATCAAATAAACACATTCTTTAAAAGATAAAAGAAATTCTCTTTTTAAGTGTAATTTGATAACTTTATCTTAAATTATAGAAATGAATTTTTGTGATAACTCAGGATGTATTTTCTTCATAATTCGAAGTTTAGACTATTTACAAAAAGTCAAATTAACTTTTGAGTCCATCTTTATCCTTTATACACTACCACAGAAGTAACAGTCTTAAAAAATTGCTTTGAAGAACTCTTCTTAAACACAGGTAAAAATTGGTAAAAAAACTTCACAAGGTTAAAAAAGATCAAGTGTCAGCCTTTTCTTGTAGGTTTCTGACACTTTTACAATTAAAAACAAAAAGAAATTCTTCACCCTTATCATTTTTATCCACCTTTTTAAACTGCTTCTGGCCCTCTAGTGGTAGTTACGAGTATCTACATTATTTGCATATGGTTACAATTTTTGTGATAACTCAGGATGTATTTTCTTCATAATTCGAAGTTTAGACTATTTACAAAAAGTCAAAAAAGTAAAGGATAAAGATGGACTCAAAAGTTAATTTGACTTTTTGTAAATAGTCTAAACTTCGAATTATGTATAAATGAAATTTTTGTTGGAAATATAAGAATATCATTAAATTATTGCTAGAGAATTGTTAGAAAAACCCTTGTTGTGCATTATTTAAAATATATGATTCCAGCAAAATTTATTTATAGTTTAGGTTATTCATATAAAATTTAGGATCTATAACTGTTTCTGCTGTATTGTTTTGAACATAGGCACCTTCAAAACACTTACATAAAGGTCAGATTTGTATGAAATGCATGATTATCCTTAAATACTGTTATGTTGAAATCTCAATATAAATGTGATTTGGGTCCAAGTTTCACATTTACATGGAAATCTCTCATTTTTCAATTCTCAAAACTTTTTGAATTAACATTTACAATAATTTTAATCCAAATATACTTATTAATTTAATAATTTTAAATTTAAATCTTTCAAAAAATNTTACATTGTGGCAATAAGTAAATTTTTCCCATCTTCCAACCACAAAAATAGCAGAAGGGAATCATTTTAAAAGATTTGGCATAACATGCAAAGAGTTTCTGATTGTAAAGAACAAAAACCAACACTGTATAAATTAATACAGAAACAATTATACTACAGCAAAATAAAATTACTGTATGATCAAATCATCTTGTCATAGCTGGAAAGCACTTGTGGAATTATGTGCTACTTTTGTGCATTCATCTCATTTCCTCATAATCATTTTACTGTAGTGTTTGTGAGTACAGTGGGCAGTGGCATAGTGAGGGGGGTGCAAGGGGGGTGTATCATGTACCGGGTGCCACTCTGCGAGTGGCATGGTGTACCATAATTTATCCTGGAGAACACCCAGGCGCCACTTGCAGAGTAGCGTCTGGGTGGTCTCCAAGACAAACTATGGTGTTTCTGGAGGGGGAGGGGGGTCTCCAAGACAAACTATATGTGTCTGGAGGGGGGAGGGGGCGCCAATAAAGTGTCGTGCCCCAGGTGCCAGTTATATTTGCTATGCCACTGACAGTGGGTGATCGGTTAATGAACATAATCCATTCCAAGACTTTGTTTTTCTATCCGAATTGTTCGTTAACCAATTATCGATTTACCATAGGTTTTTATGGGAATTTGATTAATTCTTTCTGGAGACCTCAAAAAATAAAAAATATATAAATAAACATAGTAAGAAAGTAGTCATGTTTTTTTCTGTTTGCGCTGGGGTTAAAGGATCTGTGTAATGTTAATTGCTTTTCTCTTATCTTCAAGATTTTTCAGAATTAATTAATAGCATTGTAATTGTAGAGATCCCTAAGCCTATTAACCTCAATTTGGTTTGGATGCCATTCTAACACTGTTGTTCTGACATCATCCCACTTCTTCAAAAAAATGTTTAATAGCAGATATCGACATTAATTCTCTTTTTCAGAAGAAAACATATCTTGTCGAGTTTCTTGGTGTTCTTCATTCAAGAGTTCTTGGCGTTCTTCTGTCGTCGGATCAATTTCAGGTTCCGTTATGAGCTCTTCAATGTTCTTTATTTCTCAGATGTGACCATAGGGTCGGTATCTCTTCGATACCTCGTCAGGATGACACCACTGTATCCTTCGGTCGATACAGAGACCACAAGTTCGCGCGAGCGGATAGGTATGAGGGTTGGACCCGGAATGGAGAACGGAGAGACAAACGGAAGAAACTGCACTCCAGAAGTTTAAACATAAAAACCCGTTTATTTATATATATTCTAAATTAAGTTTACATCAGCGAATAAAATACGATACATAAACTACATGAGTTATTATTCAATTTTTAGTCCAAATTAACGACCGGGTGCGCGTTTCGTTACGCGGAGAGAGAGAACGTACAATAGTGCGCGGGCAGGATAAATACCTTAGGTTATAGGAGCTCAAGTCCAAAATCAGCACAAAAGGTCCAACAGTTCTTTTTAGGTGAACAGTTC